CCCCCCCCCCCCAGCATGTTTCTGGTTTGCTTGATCCCACTTCTGGCAGCCAGGCACAGGTTGGAAGTAGAGGGGGCAGGCCCCAGCTGCCTCCTCAGCTGAGTTTTCTCTCAGGCAGCTGCTGCACCGCACAGAAGCAGCGACCCACAGCAGCCACCCTTGGGTTGTCAGCTTAGTAATATTTTAAAAATGGACATTCCAGCTGTAACCTCTCTGCTCCACCTCTTCCCCCGAGGCCTTGCTCTCTTGTCCACTCCTCTTCGCCAGTCCCCGCTCTTGCTCATGCTTTTCCCATCCCTTGCCCAGGTCTAGGTGATGACCCGGTGCCTCCCTGCCTCCACTGCCCACAGTAACCAGAGTTTGGGTGTCTAGTTAGTGGATTTGACTGGACAGTCTCAGGTCCCCTTTTCAATTGGACTTCCCAGTTGAAAACCAGGCACCTGACCACGCTAAACCACCCTCACCCAGCATGAAAAGTATCTCTGTCCTGCCCCCCTACTCCCTGTCCTGTTGCCATGGAAAGGGGGTGAGCAAATCTTGAAGAAATCTGGGGGTGCAAATGACCCCACGTCTCTCCCTCACACACACACATCGCCTTTGCACTCGTGTGTGAAAAATCCACACCCCTGAGCAACGTAATTGTACTGACTTAACCCCCTGTGTAGACAGCGCGACGCTGATGGAGAGCTTCTCACAAACACACAGCTGCCACCTCTTACATAAGTGGATTAACTATGCCGAGAGGACAGCTCTTTCCCGTCAGCATCTTCATTAAAGAGCGATGAGCGTAGTGGCACCAGTGCAGCATTTTAAGTGTACACATGCCCTAAATCAGTTTTCCAGACCTGAAGAAGAATTCTGTGTATGCTAGAAAGCTTCTCTCTCATCAACAGAAGCTATTCAATAAAAGCTATTGCTTCACCCACCATGTCTCTAAAGTCCTGAGACCGATTCTGCTATAACACTGCATACTAATTATGGGGCATCACTTACTCACTAGAAAGTGGACTGAAGCAATCCATTCATTTCACACTAGAACAGCCTAAACCCACAGCCCACAACATAAACCCCTCCAATGCATTATCAACAATTATCCTGGAAAATGACCTCTCACTCACACAGGCCTTGGGGGACAGGCCAATTCTCGCCTACAGACAACCCCCGAACCTCAAACAAATTCTTTCCAGTAACCATGTAGCATACCTCCATCATACTCATCCAGGAACCCATCTGTGCAATCAACTCTGGTGACAACTCTGTCCACACATCTATACAAGCGGCATCATTACAGGAACTAACCACATAAACTACCACATCAGAGGCTCATTTAACTGCACATCCACTAACATCATCTATGCTGTCAACTGCCAACAATGCCCCTCTACCATGTATATTGGCCAAACTGGACAGTCTCTATGAGAAAGAATTAATGGACACAAATCAGATATCCGAAAAGGAAACACACAGAAACCTGTTGGGGAATATTTTAACTTGCCCGGGCACTCATTAACAGATCTCAGAGTCACCGTACTGTTATAGGACAATTCCACAAGCCAACTTCACTGGGAAGCCTTAGAACTTAACTTCATTTACAAGTTTGATTCCTATAACAGAGGTATGAATAAAGATTGGCTGGATAGCCTGCTACATTCCACATCCTAATGACATAAAAAAAATGGTACTTAAGAACAATGAGTACCTTCTCTATCAGTTTCATGTAGCATGGACACTCTGACTATTTCTTACCCCTTCCTCTTCTTTCTCCCCCCCCCCCCATTTATTTAGAAACTGGACCTTTAATAACTCCATTCCTCTGAAAAAGTCCATGAAAGCTCATGTTACCAATCTACACGTTTTGTTAGTCTCTAAGGCTACATCTAAGACTGCAGGCTTCTTTCAGAAGAGCTTTTCCAGAAGCGATCTTCCAAAAAAAACTTCTTCCAAAACAGCGCATCCACTCTGGAAAAGCACATCCAAAAAGTGATCTGCTTTTTTGAAACATAGCGTCCACACTGAATGGATGCTATCTCGCATTTAAGCTGAGATTACTATGGATGGAGTGGCCACCAGGACACACCTGTGCTTTTTCTCCTCTTTCCTCTTCTTCGAAAGAACTCTCTCTTCCCCGTCCACACATGCCTTTTTCTGAAGGAGCTCTTTCAGAAAAGGGTTTTTCCTCGTAGAATGAGGTTTATCAATGTCGGAAAAACCCCTCTGTTCTTTCAATTTTTTTCTGAAAGAATGTGATTGTAGTGTGGACTTAAGTGAGGTTTTTTGAGAAACAGCCGTTTTTTAAAAAAAACCTCTGTAGTGTAGACCTAGCCAAAGGTGCTGCAGGACTATTTGTTGTTTTTTAAGCCTAAAGGAAGAACCTCCTGTGTTTCCATAGAAAATGCCTTCCAGCTTCAAAGTGCCAAGAGCCAGCAGTGATGGCTTTAAAAATTGAGTGGGCCACTTTCCATGGAGCTCATGTTTTAGATCTGCATCTAGCAACAAGAATCATAGACATTTACCCATCAAATGCTGCCAGGTCATGGTTAGCCTAGCAACGGGAACTAAACTAAAACTGGGGTAGTGAGGATGAAAAAGGCTTTAGTGACATTACTAACGTGTAATCATTTAAAAGTCCAGTTAAAGCAAAGTCCTTTCAACTCACCTCCACCTTTACCCTATCAGTGCAAGGGCCCGGAATTGCTATTTTAAAGGCTATTTCAATTTCTTTAAGTGCACAGCAAACCCATTTACAAATGTTATACTCAACTACCCCGTTCCCCCCACAATCACATTCTCTCTGCTTGTGGCCTAGATTCTTTTCATCAGTTTAACAAAGACCTACCAAATTGTGATTAGATTGCACCAGATCTGATTCCTGAATAAATTTACATGTGGATTTAGAGGAAGTAGAAATGGTAAGTACTGTGTGTTTTTACTGCTATGATCTGGGATCACTAGAACCTTTCAGGATTCCTGAGTGTGTGTTACTTCAAAATAAAATAAAAAAAAAACAGATAACACAGTATTCTAGACAGATATCTTCTGGGATATTTATTAATTGGGAAAAATAAAACAGAACAATTTGAGCTAGTTCATGGATTAAAATCTTCTTTAACCAACGAAACGTACACACACAAGATGCAGGAGTTTTAGAAACTGTGTTTGTAACTCTTAATTTTAAAACCTAATTGTGACCATTTTACTAGGGGTTGCGGATGACACATCCTCTTGCCCCACCTCTTTCAGCCAAGGCTACACCCCTGCTTGCTGCTCTCAGCTCCCCTTGGCCCCAGCTGTGTTGTAGTAGGGGGCTGAGAACCCCCCTCGCCCGCAGGGTGAAGAGGAGCTGAGAGTTCAGCCTCAGCAGGGACTGCAGGAGAGACCCTGGCTGGAGCCCTAAGCCTGGAATCCCCCCCCCACTCCACTCCTTCCCCATGGCCCCGACTCCATTGTGTCCACAGCCCCGTCCCATTCCCTCCTGCCCCCCCCACAAGCTGTGGCCCCAAGACCAGAACAGCTCTGTGCCCCTACTGCAGCCCTAGGGCTGTGGTGGGGAGATAGTCTTCTGGGGGACCCCAAATCCAACACTGCCCCCTGGAGGTGCAATGTTTGGGGTGGCTTAGCCTTGGCCAGCCTCCATTAAATTGCCTATAGATTTAACTACCACCACCTTGCTGGGATGGATGAGGAAGTTTACCTGTCCTTTGGTGTGTTTGGTGGCAGGTTGAGATTTTCTTCGAGATCTCTCACCAATAGAAGTTGGTCCAATAAAAGAGATTACTTCATTCAGCTAATATCCTGGGACCAACATGGCTACAACACCACTAAAAGCGGTACAGGTCAGTTAGTCAGCCATCTTCCATTATGATTACTGAAAGGTGTGTAGCTAAATCCCCTCTACCCTGTAAATCTCAGCTCTGTAGATTCTGCAGTGTTGCAGTGCACTTCATAACAGACACTTTTTTCATATTAACTCTTAGAGGGACAGAAAAAATCCTAAATAGGCAGAATTTTCCATCTCTGGGGATTGCTGTTTCTCCTACCTAAATAATATTTCACAGACAGGCAGATGTTGGATTATCACCCAATGAAAAACCAGATGTATTCCTCTGAGGCTGTATTTCTATCTCAGTACAGAGCTACGCAGTGTTTTCAGAGGCAGAACTTCATCTTGGGGCAGGACAGGGACTTTTGGGGGCTGATTGTGAACCACATATGGCTTGCATGTAAAATGGCAATGGTTGCATGAGCATATAGTAGCACAGTATAACTTTAAAATTGCCTAATTCATTAAAGGACTTGCACCAGAACAAAAGTACCCTTGTACCTATATACATACATTGACTGGAGTTGAAGTGTGTAGTAGAAAACTGTTGCCCTGCAAGTTGAAACAAAACAAAACAGGAAACGTATAAACAGCAGGATACATAGCCAGAGGTGGGGCTATTGTGATAATTGCGGTTTAGTGATCCTCATTGCAGGAAAGCAGATGAAACAACAGCTTAGAGCAGGCAAATACAACAGGAGGTATCTCTGCACATGGGTGGCAACTTTTTCAAACCTGGGAGCAATGATTTACCCTATGAAGCAAAAAGACCAACCAGGTATTTGATTATACTCTCTGGTGTGTCTGTTTGCCTGAAAGGTACTACGGTTTCTGATACGGTCTCTCTCCGGGGCTCCCTGGTTTTCTCTCAGAGCTATCTGCCCTCCTCAGCGACTGGCACTGCTCAAGGCACTAGAATACCAGTCAGCCTGGATAAATAAAGAACTTACCTGACGTACTGAGAGGGGCAGCCTGGTCCAATGGTTAGGGACTCAAAAGGGTTCTGTTCCTGGCACTGCACCCTCTGTCCCGTTTTCCCTCCCTCCCCGTCTGTCTTTTTTATATTGTAGGAGTCTACACAAAAATTGCCTCTCACTGTGTGGGAGGAAGGTGCCTAGCACACTGGCCCGTTATCTCTGCGGGGACCTGCAATATAATAACGAATTCAATCTAGGGATGTAAAATCCCGGTTAATCAGTTAACCGGTTAAATGAGGGCAGGCGGGGGGGCCGCGCCAGCCTCCTCCCCGTCTGTCTTTTTTATATTGTAGGAGTCTACACAAAAATTGCCTCTCACTGTGTGGGAGGAAGGTGCCTAGCACACTGGCCCGTTATCTCTGCGGGGACCTGCAATATAATAACGAATTCAATCTAGGGATGTAAAATCCCGGTTAATCAGTTAACCGGTTAAATGAGGGCAGGCGGGGGGGCCGCGCCAGCCTGGCAGGGGCAGGCCTGCCATGGCAGGGGGTTGCTCTGGCTGTTTGGGAGAGCCCCTGGCCGGGACGGGCCCCCAGCACCAGAGCAGCCTCTTGCCCACAGCGGGCGGGGGCTGCTCCAGCCAACTGGAGATCCATAACCAGTTAGCATCACCCTTCCCTCACCAGTTAACCATTCACATCCCTAATAGATACACATCAGAACGCGACGTTAAAAGAACATTAAGGTTGCTAAATCAAGCACTCAAAATGTGGGAAATGCCAGCATTAAGGATGCTTTTGCAACCATCATTTGGCCCTGGCACAGGATGAGACCGCCTTTTGGGACCCGTACTGTTCAATATCTTCATCAATGATGTAGATATTGGGATAGAGAGTACGCTTATTAAGTTTGCAGATGATACCAAACTGGGTGTGGTTGCAACTTCTTTGGAGGATAGGGACATAATTCAAAATGACCTTAGCAAGTTAGAGAAATGGTCAGAGGTAAACAGGATGAGGTTTAATAAGGAGAAATGCAGAGTGCTCCACTTAGGAAGGAACAATCAGTTCCATACATACAAGATGGGAAGCGACTGTCTAGGAAGGAGCATGGCGGAAAGGGATCTAGGGGTCATAGTGGACCACAAGTTGAATATGAGTCAACAGTGTGATGCTGTTGCAAAAAAAGCAAATATGATTCTAGGTTGTATCAACAGGTGTGTTGTAAGCAAAACTCGTGAAGTCATTCTGCCGCTCTACTCTGCACTAGTTAGGCCTCAGCTGGAGTACTGTGTCCAGTTCTGGGTGCCACATTTCAAGAAAGATGTGGAGAAATTGGAAAGGGTACAGAGAAGAGCGACAAGAATGATTAAAGGTCTAGAGAGCATGACCTATGAAGCCAGGCTTCATGAACTGGGCTTGTTTAGTTTGGAAAAACGAAGATTAAGGGGGGACATGATAGTGGTTTTCAAATATCTAAAAGGGTGTCACAAGGAGGAAGGCGAAAATTTGTTCCTCTTGGTTTCTGAGGACAGGACAAGGAGTAATGGGCTTAAAGTGCAGCAGGGGAGGTTTAGATTGGACATTAGGAAAACATTCCTAACTGTCAGGGTGGTCAAATATTGGAATAAATTGCCAAGGGAGATGGTGGAATCTCCCTCTCTGGAGATATTTAAGAACAGGTTAGATAGACATCTGTCAGGGATGGTGTAGACGGAGCTTGGTCCTGCCTTGAGGGCGGAGGGCTGGACTCGGTGACCTCTCGAGGTCCCTTCCAGTCCTATGATTCTATGATTAAGAGGGAGCAGGGCCAGAGGCTGGTCAGCTGACCCCCAGCTGAACTATAAGATAAGGCAGCTGGGCACAAGGGAAGGAGGAAGGGAAGGGGGCAGAGGGGAGAACATGGGGTTTTCCCTGCCTGCTCACTGGGCATATTCCCTTGTATTTTGCACTGGTGAGGCCCTCTGGAGTACTGCATCCAGTTCTGGGCCACTCACTACAGAAAAGATGTGGACAAATTGGAGAGAGTCCAGCAGCAAAAATTAGTAGGGGCCTGAGGCACATGACTTATGAGGAGCAGCTGAGGGAACTGGGCTTATTTAGTCTCCAGAAGAGAAGAGCGGGGGGCAGAGGTATTTGATAGCAGCCTTCAACTCCCTGAAGGGTTCCAAAGAGGATGCAGTCAGGCTATTTTCAGTGGTGGCAGATGATGGAATGGTCTTGAGTTGCAGTGGGGGAGGTCTAGGTTGGACATTAGGAAAAACTATTTCACTAGGAGGGTGGTGAAGCACTGGAATGGGTGACCTAGGGGAGTGGTGGAATCTCCATCCCTAGAGGTTTTTAAGTCCCAGCTGATTTAGCTGGGATGATTTAGTTGGTGTTGGTCCTGCATTGAGAAGGGGGTTGGACTTGATGATCTCCTGAGGTCTCTTCCAACCCTATGATTCTGTTTCTGGACAAGAGAGCCCCGGGGCAGGAAGGCCAGCAGCTAGGAGCCCAGCAGGACTGGGAGCCCCGAGGGCTAGTGATATTGGGGCTGGAGCTGCGACAGTCCGACCAAGGCCATGGCAGCCTGATCAGCAACGGGACCGGTGCAGCCCGGCAGAGGCAGCCCAACAAGGACCACTACAGCCTGCCAGGGGCTGCGTGCCGCCTGGTAGCGAGGCTGCAGTTCTCTTGGGTGGTGTGAGTCCACGGCAACCTAGTAGGGACAGCCTGGCCAAGGCTGCGGCAGCCCTGAATCAGAGCTAGGGCCTTGGTAGCAGGGCCACGGCAGCCCAGCCAGCAGTGGAGCCAGAATGGGGCAGCCCTGAGTGGAACAGGGATGTCTAACCTGTAGTTCTACGTGTATCTAGATATTTGTTTATTCACATTTATTTTTATTAGAGTACAATGTAATATGTTTTTGGAGACAACATATCATGGCTTTCATGTAACTGTTATACAATGTCTGCATTGTACTTGGATACTTTTCATCCCTCCAACATTTGATTATCACCGTTTAACTGCCTAGTCTCACTAGGCCTGGAAAACAAGTATTGTTAAATGATCTAGATTATGCATTTTAAGGTAAGTATAGTAAACTTCTGAATGTTAGCTCACACTACCCTGAATAACATAGCATAAATCTCTTAGTTGTACCCTTGGTCTTCTAAAATAATTCTACCACTCCCATTTTATTAAATATTATTTTATGTGCTTTTTTTCAAAAAGCACATTTTAACAACACAAAAAAACCCCAAACTGAGCACTCCTA